TATACACACACACACACACACACACACACACACACACACACACACACACACACACACACACCACATTCAATATAATATAAATATACATTCAAGCTTTGTCAAGCTCTACAGTATGCGTACACACATGAACATTTCCTCTCTGAAGTGTTCCACTGTGTAGGGATAAAATATGAAAGCACCACTATGGGAATGGACATGGTAAAATACTAAAATGGAAAGGGACGAGCCTTGAGGAGTATGATATAAAAATAAAATACAAAATGTAGCAATATCATTTACAATGCATCATTGATGTCAGTCATTAAAAGAAATTAAGCTCTTTGACATTTTGTATACATGGGCAAATATTTGTGACAGAGTTGGCTGAGTAGTCCACAACACAACACAAAAATTAAAATGGATTGTTGTTATTATTATTATTAATAATATTATGTGCGCTCATGCTACGCATGCACTTTGACACGACAGACATAGGCAGCGAGAAGGATTTAGCCAGTCCAAAATTTACACAAACACCAAAAGTGTTCAAATGAGTTATCAATGGGCCAAAATTGCCCATTGTTAGTTTATCATGAAGTTGGTCCTTGAGTTTTTGTGCTGTGCAAATTGAAGTATTGCTCAAAAGTATTAAAAAAGCTGTAATAGAAATTATTTCCACACTGTGAAAACAGCTGAGTGGAGTGAAAATTTCAAGGCAACAAAAAAATGTTTTATCACCAAAAAATACAGGCTTTGCTTTCTGCAGTGCACACATAATTCTGAATGTAGACAGAAGGTAGCTGTTATAAATGAAAATTGTTTATCAGATAGCGAAGTATGTAAGTAATCAACGGCTGTTGTTTCTTTAAACCATCCGTGTTATTTCCTTTTTTTTATCAGCAATGATACTCTAAAACAAATTAATACATTTTTGTTTTACTTGTGAAAGCAGTCAGAAAATTTATATATATAGTGTATTAATCACAATTTGTTCTATTCTGGATACATGAATGAGATTTCAGTGAAATGAGATTTGACTCCTTGCCTCCTCGCTTAAGTCCCCAATTTATAATGAACGGTTGTCACAATGACATACAGTATAAATAAAAAGAAACAATACAACACGCAATTGTATACATTTTATGAATCAAAAAAGCCTTTACAAGACGCACAAATATGTTCCTGCTTGATGGACACTAAAACAGCTTCCAGAATTTTACAGAGACAATTTGTGACCCAAGAAAATCTCACCAGGCATTTCAAGAAACAGTTTGACAACGAATATTGGACATACATAAAAAAATAAAAAATAAATAAAGGCCCCTCTTTGCATAATGTTCACTCTGCTTGCTTTTCTTACAGGCACTCTGACTCTGTGACGCAGCGGGTCTGTCCCACACAATGCATGGGAGCCAGTCAGTGGTGCCGCACCCTGTGGCTGTGCACACCTCCCATGCAGGGCCGCTCCGTCATGACCTTTCTGATGCTGTCTGAGCCGTCAATAATAGGAGATGAGACATAAACCACAGTGGCGAAGGCATGAGCAGAGACTTGGTGGGCCACCTTTTCAGGTTAGTTTGCTGTGTTGCCACCCTGATGGCAACGGGATGTGGCGGACCAGACAGCAACATGGTCTCCAATGCTTGTGTTTCCAAAAAATCTTCAGCCTTAACAGGTCACCCGCTCTCTTGTTTTTTTTTTTTTTTTTCTGCTCTGAAGGGGGATTTTCCTGTGGTAAGCTGATTCGGAAAAAGCAATTAAGAATTCCCAAACACGCCACCACAATGGGAGATATCATTCTGGCAACCTGAGTTGGATATTTTTAATCCTGCACCCAACTGAAGCCACCTACATGCAAACCACAAATGAAAGCAATATGAGGGGGGGGGGGGGGGGGGGGGGTTCAAGCTAGTTTCCTGTCATGAAGCTTCTGCCATGAAGAGCTTTGGTAGCGCCCAACTTGATACTCCAGTCGCTTTGAACTGAGGGCATGTCCTCGTTGTCTGTGGGAAGGCACGGCGAGGCAGCGGTCGGAATCAGTCAGGAATGTTCTGGGACGGTAACTGGATTCAGAGTGTAATGCCCGGCTCTCCAGAGTGGAGCGCGAGGGTGGGAAATAGGCCGAGAGCATTTCCTGAGTGGAGGGGGGTCCCAGCGAAGCATCACAGGCGTGGGCATTATGTGACAGCCACCCTGCCAGGTCTCTGCCTTCCATCCCACATGAAGAGCGGCGGGGACGGAAAGAAGGCAGGGAGAGGCTGCAATTAAAACATGTGGCAGTTTCGTGTCCAACGCAAACCTGTGAATGGTGGAAAGATGAAGAACATGATGTCAAATGTAGTGACACACAAAACAACCTCAGTATTTTTCATTTTTACAGCTCCACAAATCATTTCAGAGGCACAGCGGAAACTTTTGTGAAGTAACTGCAATGAATCGCTAGGGATAATGAAAACACAATTCAGTGCAATCTCAAAGACCGAACAGGATCCTGAATGCTGGTTGACCTAATCTTAGAATCAGAGGAAATAATGGGCATCGAATTCAAGGGCTATATCGTCCTCATTATAAAAACTTGATTACCTGTCCAGGTGTTGTTTTAAAAATACATTTTAACATTCTTAAAGGGTTCTTTGCAATTTTAAAATAATTAATTTTCAGTCTCTTTTGTTCAAACAAAAACAAAAAAAAAATCCCCCCTCCCTGGCCACATATTGTACCTTTAATTAAATTTTTAAGAAACCACTACGCCCGAGGAAAAACAACCCCTCAGAGACAGAAGGCGCGACTGACGAAGTGCCAATCATACTCAGACACACAGACAGCGACCACAACCCGACGGCCTCATGCGCTTGCGTGTTACCTTGGGTTTGATTAACTTTGCTGAAACTACGGCTAAGCATCCATCTTTGATGAGTAACAAAAAATTAAAAAGAATGAATTGGACAGATCCTGAGACAAAACAGAGGTGAACATTGGAGTTGCCTGCCAGGCGGATGTATCACTATTTTCTGTTATTCTCTTGTTTTTTAGGCTATGGCCATGCTGTACTGAGCAGTGAGGCCAGAGAGTTACAAAATGTACTACTTTCCTATGGCGCAGTAAATTCAACATTTTTCCTCCTTTTCCATGGCCGGTACCCTTCTTGAGCATCCATTTTACTTGGCAGTGGTGTAGAACTGTACAGCATCATTTTGTCCTCTCTCATGCCGCTAAATATTACCGTCGTTTCTCAGTGGGATGTAGTTACATTCCACACCAGTGCAAAATATAATTCAAACATATTTAATAAATAGATGGGTGCCTTGACTTATGAGTGACCAAGCTTACACTTTTTTTTTTTTTTAAGATACAAGTTATGGCTCAGCCGATCTCCTGCTTTGACTTGTGAGCAAAACTTTGAGATGCAGTACAAAATGGTGGCAGCAAACTCAACTCAACTCAACTTTATTTGGAAAATAATGAAATGTTTTCAAAACAAATATGCTCCAGGCGGTTTTTTGCCACTGCCAATTGAAGTTTACTATAGAATTCAATATAGAACAAAAAGAATTGCATGTGAATGTGAATTAGCTCAATGCTAACCCAATGCAAGATGCCATAGATGGGCGAAAGAATAGCATCTATGCACTGCATGTGGCGCTTTCCGATGGTGGTATAACACTATTAACAAAAGATGTTTGAAGAAAAACATTGCACAAAACACATGAAAACAGGCAATATGACACTAATCAAATGCACATATTCTTTATCGTCTGTAAAAAAATAAATATTACTGCAGCTTCCTGAGTGTTGAAACGTTAAGTGAAATCTTTTACACAATAACGTTGATCTACCGTCTTCCCTAACTTTTCACGGGTGATAGGCTACATTCCATGATGCCTCGCGATAGGTGAATTCCCCGAAATAGAGGTTGACATTTTTTTTGGGGGGGGGGGTTACGCCTCTAATAAGCCATTACGAACACCTCCACACAGTTCTCACCCTTCTAAACAATTGTTACACTTAATAAATTGAATTTTTAAAATGCACAATTAAGAAAAAAAAATCTGTGTTGTCTTCCATTTACAAGATGAAGAAGAAGAATGGTAGTCATGGCAACGAGCTCTAATTTTCCACAAGGATTTAGAGCATTAGCTCACTCGGATTGTACCTTTGGTGACAATGTAACGTGGGATTCTGGTTAAGGTGAGCCACTTTAAACAGAAAAGAAAAGCTTTAGCGTCGTTATTAAGCGGAGGTTAGTCGTCCTCGTGTGCTGCTTGAGGCAGACCGCGCTCCGTTCACATTCATTTTTGACTGCAGCCTATAATCTGCAGCTCATGCTACAACTCTTTACTTCTCTTGCACTGCCTCACGCACTGAGAGCTCCGGTACTCTGGATAACCGAACGGCTGTCTAAGTCAGCAGTGCAGTCGGAGCGGTCTTTCCGAGCGCACCCAGAATGAGGGAACCGAGATTTTGGGGATGACGAGCTCTAATGTTTACGGTCACATTTTGTCAAACAAATTTGCCCTTAAAAAAAACCCCAAATAATAATAATATGTTTTTTTGACTGCTCTGACTAAGAGGGAAGAAAAATTGCAAGAAACGAGGTAAAGGAGCAAAGTTATGCTCACAAATGAAAAACCGCGATAGCCTGAAGGCATAATAATCGAACTGCGAAGTAGCGAGGGAACACTGTATTTGTGTGTGTGTGTGTGTGTGTGTGTGTGTGTGTGTGTGTGTGTGTGTGTGAGTGTGTGTGTGTGTGTGTATGAGGGGTGGTGCTGGGGTCTTGTGTAAATGTTGGGCTCATCCTGGAAATAATCTTCAATCCTATGCTATAGTTGTCAAAGAGTTTTAATTTCCACCTGCTAGCGACCTATTTCCTGCTCTATAACAATGGCACTGGGGAAGCTGTGGAGTGCCAAGTGATTGATGTTGTACTGTATTTGGCCCTTCTTCACATTGGGGCCTGACGGGAAATGCCCCCCACCCCCCCTCAATCGCTCCCTCCCCCACACCACCCTGTGGCAACAAGACGGTGAAGAGACCGAAGTGCTGATCAGGGTTTACTAAAGGCATCCCTTTTTTTTTTTTTTTGGGGTAACATGGTGTCATTCTTCTCCATAGACAAGCTGGCAGCTGCATATAAACACACTTTCCACGTCTTATAAATCTGTTTAAGAATGAATGAAGCTCATTCTCGCCACGCGATTAAACTTGGTCACATCCCCTCCTGCCCGCGTCCAAGCATCACTCTTTTAACACGTCCCGCGTCTGGAAGTTGAACAGAAATACATCACACTGGCATTCTTTCCACACAGCACAGCAAAGAAGACAATCTATCACTCGGATTGCCGGTGTTCATTCTCGTTCTCTATTTCTAACGGTGTTTCTCTTTCTGCTTCCTCTAGGCTGGAGTGGGCAGGCATGCGGCTTTGGCCACAGGAAGCTGTGAATTCTTCGAAGAATGGAAGATGTCCTACAGGGAGACGTACTCGGCCCGCCTACGCCCATTCCTTACCCCAAAATGACCCCTGACCCATCCGTATGTTTATATCAGAGCGTGGAAGTGAGAAATAGTGATGAGTCACTTTGGCCGTCTGTTTACACTCCGGAGTCACGCAAGGAAGGAAATCAGCTACGGTCTGCTACAAGTGGCCAGCTTGGAGAGAGAATAGATGCGGCCCCTTCAGAGGTGCACCTCGAGCCGAGCGGGATTTTAGAGGATTTGCTTCACCTGAGGGCTGCTGTAAACTCCGTAAGACAACAGAAAACTGAAAACTTAACAGCACAAATGAACTATCGTCAATTCGCACTTTCCTCAAGGAGAACTGCGTGGCAAAACATTGTCTCATCTTCCCTGATGATGCACTCTTGAAACTGCCGGGTTAAAAGTAACCCAAATTGGGTGAAATAGTCCGAAAGAGACTGAGCCAATGTCGGGTGTTTTATACCCGGCGTGTTGGGTTGAGGGTTTGACCCGGCACATTTGGTCAATATTTCGAGCCAATAGAGGGTAAAGACTAACCATACTGATGCATTGCCAAGTTATCAGCAACCATTTTTATGGCTGGGCCATCTGCCTCTTCCTGGGATTTGAACCCAGAGCTCTGTGCCCAAGGTTGGCAGGATTAAACAATGATCCACCCAACCACCAACATTTTGTGGAATGTTACATTGAACTTACTTCAAGTTCAGTACACGGGCAAAAATGGGGACCAGATTCAGCTCTTTCAGCTTTTTCAGTTGCTAAAAGCCTGTTTTAGTGATTGATTTGATATGATTGCTGAAGGTCAGTTGTCCATGATTTCGGATTTGGTCTTTGGTTTCTAAAGACAGTGACCCCAGGTATTTTCTAACAGCAATACTCTTTTCTTTATTGCCAAAATCAATTACCTCTGTTCTGTTTTGGTTTAGCTGAAGCATATTCTGGTTCATCAAAGTTGAAGCACCGCGCACGGTGGTCGACTGGTTAGCATTTCTGTCTCACAGTGCAGAGGTCATGTGTTTATATCCGGCTCTGGCCTCCCTGTGTGAAGTTTGCAGGTTCTCCTTGTGCCTGTGTGGGTTTTCTCCGAGAACTCTGATTTTCTCCCATATTCCAAAAAAATGCATGGCAGGTTAATGGAACACTCTAAATTGTCCCTGGGTGTGATTGTGAGTGTGAGTTGTTTGTCTTTGTGTGCCCTGCGATTGGCTGGCAACCAGTTCAGGGTGTGCCCCGCCTCCCGCCCAAAGACTGCTGCGATAGGCTACAGCACGCCCGCAACCCACGTGAGGATAAGCGGATGAGAAAATAGACGGATGTTATCGTGGATGCTATGGATTAGGTCTTGAAAATAAATTGTCAACTCGTCAATAAGTAGATTGTGACGTGATTTTGGCATCTCGTCTCAGCACGTCTATTTAATGGAAACAGAAAATAGGGCAAAAGCTGTTTTATTCTTTACTTTCTATTTAATTGTTATTGTTGGATGTTTTCTCAGTGCTATACATTTAAAGAGTGCTATTTTCATTCTTGAAAAAACAGATGACAAATTGTTTTTGTTGCGTTTGCCATTCCCATTCATGTTAATGGGAGAGAAATGATTTGTGATCGTTAACATCAACCTTTTCTATGACTGTGGCCTGCAGGTATTATTCTAATTTCATCACAGTACATTTCCCCACGGGTTTCAGTTCTAACTAAAAATATAATCAGCGCTTATAAATTGTGACGTCATCTGTCCAGCACAGTGGGTATGTGTAAATCGATACATTTACTTTCTTATTAACTTCTTCATTATGTTCCACAACCATGTGGGCCACTGTCACCCCAACCCAATTATAAAATGATAGTATTGCTGCTGTCCAATGAGAATCACGTATATCCCAGCTTTAAGTTTCTTTTGATCGGAAAATCATTTTTTGTTGTTTTTCTTTCAAAAGTAACCGGTATTGCCCAATCTCCACTCCATCTTAGAAAAATATTTCTCATTTATGAATTCAGTGAAATAGTCCCTCTTGGCCAATCTGCTGAATGACCATTTGATTATGAAGTTGTTATCAAGATAGGTCATTACTGCACTTATGCTCGATAAATAAACATAACACCTCATTGCCTTCCACCTATAGGGTCGCGGGTGCGCACACACGCACGGGCACACACGCATACACGCTCTGCCTCAATAAGAGCCAACATTTCTGAGTTTGGCAAGATTTCTCCCGAATTGTAACTCTTGTCAGGAGCTTTGATTGATAGTTGTGTTTATCACCATATTATTAAGTAATCAAGCTCACCGCAGCAAGGCCTCAAGCTTCTCAATTCCACTTCAGTGCAAATTAAAGGTTTGGTTCATGTTTATTCTTGTGATTGGAAAAAAAAAGATATATCTAAGGATTTTATAGGAGTGGTCTGATTGCAGCAGATGCTTGGGAACATTTGGTAGGATGAATCCTCTAGATCAGTGGTTCTCAAACTTGTCATGCCAAGTACCAGATAAAAACATAAAAAAAAAACCTGACCTTCAAGTACCTCCATAATAATCAACATGACAATCCAATAGCTGAGTAGGCCAAATTGTTTTATTCCGAAATATTAACATGAGAAAATGGGTAATTTTAAAAATAAAATTTTGGAGAAAAACTTCAAATAGTCAAAAGTCAAAATATTAGGGGGAAAAAATACGTCTGTAAAGTTGTGATACTGTGGCTAAAACAACCCCCAAATTGACAGGAATAAAGTCAAAATGTTACAAGGAAAAATAAAAACATTATGCAAGGCTGAAGTTGGACTGCTATTATATTTAAATCATACAGCAAGAGAGATAAAACTCAAAATGAGACAATTATAAAGTTGTAATATTCTACATTTTTTAAACAAAAACTCAAGAACTTTCGGGAATAAAATAAAATAAAATTTTATTGGAACCAAAACCTTTAAATTCCAAAACAACAATATCAACATTAGGTATTGTTTTCCTGGAAAAGAATTGCCTTCTGACAAAAAAAACAAAAAACCCCCCAAAAAAACAAAAAACAAAAAAAATAACCTAAGAATTTAAAGTTGAAATATTTCATGAAAAAGGAGAACATTACGATGATTAAAGTAGTAATATTTGACAAGCAATACTTGTTTTAGAGTAGATAAAGCATGCCATGTAATATAATACACGTGGCACTGCACCAAAATATTGAAACATGTATGAAAAAGAACAATAATTGATTTAAACATGTTGCCCATTAGAGTAAAAAAAAAAAAAAAAAAAGAGCTACATAAAAGTATAAAACCAACCATTCCTCAAAGATTGAATGCAAATCTAAAAAAGTTCAATACAACTGAGCTGTACTTAGTGATACTTTTGAATAGCACGAGCACCACACTTTGAGAATCACTACTCTAGAACTGGTCCTGCTGCAAAACTGCATCCGGAATGTAAACATCCTGTCTTTCAAAACACTTAAGGCGCTTTTACATTGTTGTAAAAATGTTGCAAAATGACATCGCGTAAGTATATATATGCAACCTGTCGCGGTGTATAAAATGAGAAGCACTCGGCAGAGGATTTGTTCTTGCTTCGTTAATAGCGCCTGCGGCCAACTGACTTTGTGTACTGGCCAAGTAAACACAGTCACGGAAAAGCGGACATGCTGTTGAGTGTGTCCTGACTGGAGACAGGCAGCACTGTGGCACTGCACAGATGGACAACGGCAATGTGAATGGACGGCCATTGGACCATCGGCCATGTTTTGGCTTCGATGGCACCTCGAAGAAGTTGGACTCAGGGAATCAATCAAGAACAAAAAGTACAATTTTTGGCTACTCTACCCACTTCTGTTTGCAAAAATATCCAACATACATTTTGTAATTCTCTTGCATGCCAATAGGTTTGTTTGGAAATTGTCACCTAAGTGTCAATTGAATTACCCATAACCCCTAAATAAATTAGCCGGTACCAGCACAATTTTGAATCTGTGTATTTTTTGTTATGTATTTATCATTCTGTCCAATACAGTACCCCTCAAACAGATCTATATGGATTTAGAACAGCAGTCCCCAACCTTTTTTGCCCCACGGACCGGTTTATTGTCAGACAATATTTTCAGGGACCGGCCTTGAAGGTGTGACAGATAAATACAACAAAATAATATGATATGACCTGCATGAAAATTGTGGTATTTTCGAACCATAATAATAAACACGAATCACGACGCGAGGAACGTCCTATCTGGCCGCAACACTCTCCGGTCGCGATGGTAATGTTGAAACGTGCCTTCAAAATAAGATACAAAGTGCATGAAAAATGCGACTCACCATTGCCGCATATTATGCAGAGTGGGCTTGGTGCGTGGGAATGTCCCGTTGAGATCAATATGTATTTTAAGTAGGACTACTGATACTGTCTATTAAATGTAGCCTTCTTTTTCTTGAAATTCGTAGGCTCCTCTTCTGTCTCCGGGCTGGGCCTTTTTCAACTTCCCAAAGACGTTTGTTTTTTTACTCATTTTGCTTGCTCCCGGGTTTCATTTTAGCGGTAGCCTATCACCTGACCGAGAAGCGCGCCTTAACCTGCGTCAAGAGTGACATACTGTAGACGGATGTAACGGAGAATCCGGTACATTTTCGAAATCTTTCAGATTTCGAAATGAATAAAATGGAAGCGATGTAAGTTATTTATTCTTTCTGTTCGGCCCGGTACCAAATGACCCACGGACCAGTACCGGTCCACAGCCCGGCGGTTGGGGACCACTGATTTAGAGGGTTCCGTTCAAAAACATCGGCGAGAAATTAAAACAAGCTTAGCTGGTAGCGGTACTATTGTTTATCGCAATCATCAATGACCACTTCGCAGTGTGATTTTATTGTCTCGTGTTAGTGAAGCAACTTGAGTTTTTTTGTTTTTGTGTGTAGTTGTGGACTCGATAATGTGGGCGTTTGGGAAAGACAGACAGCCGGTCAGACAGACAACCACATGGTTTCGTTTGACGTCTGCTAATTCCAGGGAATCAATCCTAAATGACACCTATGGGATACACTGGGTGGATTTGCCTCTGATGTAGATTGTGGTGGTTTGCAGATGAAAGACAGTCAAATAAATAAAGCTGTGGCGAGCCGGCGGTGCTCTTCTGTGCACGCGGCCCAACAATAATGGGATACATCCTGACACCCTGAGCTGGAGTCTTGCTTACTTTGAGAAATACGTCTCTTCGCGAAAGAAAGGAGCGAGTCAGGAACTGTAATGAGAGGGCTAATTATCAGGAAGCAATTCTGTTTCTTGTCACACCGATGCCATTTTAATCCCCCAAACACTTCATTGAATGAAATTTAGCCGTATCAAATCGCGATTTAACCTCCTCCAATCAATCTTTTCATCAGCTTTTGTGTCTGCGGGCAGCCTGGAGTAAGAATAGTAATGGTAAGACAATACCGGCTTGTCTCATCCTGGCTAGGATCACGCATGACGCTCCGATAAAGTAAGCTCCTGTTCCCCACAGTGCCGCCACAAAATTACAACGCACAATGCAGTTGAGACGATGGTGAAAAGAATAGTGTGGCTTTAAACCCCACAATTGGTTTGTGTCTTGTCTCTGTGGAATTGATGGGTGTTTGTAAGTGCACACGATGGATGTAAAAATCGGGGCATTATCAACGCTGGTGCCACGGAGATGATTTATTCCGATTGTGGTTGACTCCCGTCTGATGCACTTCAACAAATCACAGCCTGAGGTCTGGCTAGACCCACAGCACACTTTGTCTGTGTCTCCTCCACATGACCCCCGCATGGATGGTGAATGAACCCAGTTTAGGTCATCTCTCAGAAGCCGCGTCTACATGCAAATACTGTCGCTTTACCTCCAGGAAACATCGTTCTTTCCTCCTTCAAGCACTTACTGTATGTGTGCATGACTATATAAACTACTTAAGAACAGTCCAACGGTGTGTTTTTGTGATCTTTTAGTCGACAATGGCCACCAGCAGTGCCGCCTGACCCAGGGGCTCAGGGTGATAAGACCACCATAACTCTACTTTATCCCCCCCGCTCATTATC